ATACTGTAGAAAAAGAGGTATAAATAGCGCTTGTTTGGCCCATGTTGGGGAGCCGTACCTGCAAGTCGCTGGAGCCGTTAATAGACGAGGAGCGAGACACAGGGCCGAGCCGGTCCTTTCAGCATGGCAATCGACAGAGAATATCCTGCCGAGGACTCCCCCAAGGATAGAGAAGACCGGAAGAAAAGGTAGGATCGAATCCATGGCGAAGAAGATGACCTCCTGACCCCTTCGCAGCAGGAAGAAGGAATCCGCAAAACGTGGTTCTCATGTGTTCTACGACAACGTCATTGTTCGGCTCCTTTGTCGACAGGAAGCCGCCGCGGGGCGTCAGCAGTCCCGCAAGGATCGCATTGCTGGTGCCCTCCAGTCCTTCGACGAACAGTATGGGTCGTCGACAACGCGCTGAAGGCGCCGCCTGTGCGTCGGCAAGAAGGACTCAGTCCTGCGAAGGGAGAAGTTAGCCATAGTGTCTAGCGGAGATACATCGGAACTGGCATCGCGTCTTTTCTCCTCGTGCCCCTCCTCGTGCCCTGACCTGTGATATGCCTGCGCCCCAACCTGCGATGCGGGTGTGCTATGCCTGATGCCGTCATTCGTCAAACGCACTGTTACGCTCTCTGGGTGATCGGCCACCGGGTTCGAGGCGTGCAAGGTGGGGTGGTCAGCCTTGATGTCACACAAGGTTGGCACCAGCGCCGGCCAGCAGCCGCCAGAGCCGCAACGCCATCGATTGGGTTCTGTAAGGAGACGGTGATTTGGCTGCGTGTTGAAGGGTGAGGGGCCCACTGACCCCATTCCCATTTTCGTCTGTCCGCCTTGTTTTCGACACCAATTGACTGGACGACGGAAGAAGCCGACCTGTCACTTTGCGCAGATAACAAACCTGCTTCCTTCAGCTCGCCTGTTGTCTTGGCCAGGATGTTGGATGCAAGATGGGCAATCAGGTGCTGCGATTAGCGGCAGGACGGTGCGTGACTGCCCGCTACAGCGGTCTAGACCGGCGCCAAGCACCGGGAGTCTCGGGTAGCGCCCAATGCTTGACAGTGGGTCAATTCCAACCGTTCGGAAGCCACGACACGCGAGACACAACTTTTTTTCACCTCCCCCTCGGGTCTTCTTCCATCCCTGGTGCGCTGGGCGGCATGGATCCACCGCCGCCGCCTTACACGTTGCTGCCGCCTCCTCCTCCCCCTCCTCCTCGAGGTCTTCCACCGCGACCCGATGGCGGCTTTAGTAGTGCGCGGCCCCCGGCCGATCCTCGGAACGGCGCGCCGTTGCCTTTCAACGTCGACCCGCAATCGCTACGCCCACCAGGGCGTCTGAGGCTGCAAACTAGCATGCCAAACCTGTCATCTGCTGGCCGCTTCACCACCTCTCCGGGGCCTTACAGCGCCAGCCCAACGCCACTCGACCCACCTTCGACCAGCACCACTCCGGGCGGCGGCTCAGAGAAACCGTTCTGGCAGAACGCCCTCTCCGAGACACAGCATTTTATGGGCGGCCTAATTCCGCACGCCACCGAATCTACCAAGCACTACACCATCCTCCGCCATTCCGCACCCCTCATCTTTTACCGCGGCCCAGCCACATCCATTGAAATATCCATTCTCAGCGCCCCCAAGTACCCGCTCCCTCTTGACCGCGCGCTATGGCTGCAGCAGCGCGGCCACTCGGGCGACAGCGGCATGAAGCTCAAGGCCATGATGGGCGCCACGTCCGACTGGCTCGACGTCACCCCGGCCGTGCAGGCACGGACCCAGGACCTCGCGCCCAACGATGAGCGTGCCTGGCAGCGCGACATCCAAAAGACGGCTCGGAAACTTGCCAAAGAAAAGGGTGAGAAGGGGCACATCCCACGGGAGACCCACGTCGTTCGTATCCCGGCCGCTTCGTCAGATGGCTATTTCCGTCTTGCGCTATGCACCGGTGGCGGCGATGCCGGACCAACAGGTGACGCTCCTGCTCGACGAAAGGTTCTGTGTTACAGCCCCATCTTTCGTGTTGCCAGCACGTCGACCGACTCGAGCGTTTTTCGCGGCGCGTCGCTGAGTACCATGCCATTGGAGATTGGCGTCAAGGTGGCGTCCGTCGCGGCAAACGCAACGGTCAAGAAGTATACCGGTCCTGTGGTGGGTATCGTCCAAAGTGGCGTCGATAGGTTCAAGCCAGGAGTTGTCGTTCGCGAGGCTGGTCGGTATGCCGTCGGCGCTCTCCGGCAAGATCCGTCCGCCAACGCGGTATCCTATGTTCCGGAGACCAACCCTTTCTTCAACAACGACCAACTCACTCCCATCGGCCCTGAAACGGGGCCAGAGTTCCCATTCCCATTGAAATTCAGCGGAAAGGTGGTCCCCGGTTCGGGTAGGAGTCGGGCCGAGCTCGGTATCCCGACGGCAAATCTTAACGCCCTCTCCCCCGATGATATCGGCCACCGCCTTCGAGGCGTCTACTTTGGGTGGACAGGGATCGTTCCGAATGATGACTCTCCACCAATGTGGCATCAGTCGATCATTGCTTGTGGTCCGTCGCCGTACGCTCGGCCCACAGTAGTGGTGGAGAATCTTGTTACGGTTCACTTGTTCCACGAGTTCCGCTTTGACTTTGTCAATGCCAAGGTCAGGGTCATCGTCATGGGTTTCATGAGACATATGCTGGATTTGTCGGCGACGCTGCAGCAGAGGTTGGATATGGTGTCGAGGGATGTTTTGCTTACGGTGGCGAGTTTGAATCGGGGAAGGGAGTGTTGGGGACCGGAGGTGACGGTTCAGAAACTGAGAACTGTCAAGAGCGCAAGGGGCTTGGGGGAGAGGTTTAATGAGGCCAAAGATAAGGTACAGAGGCGTGTGGATAGTGTGCCATTGCATGCTCTGGGCGTGAGGACCGCGGGACACGAGGAGAGGGATGGTATGTTTGGGAGGGGAGGGTATTGGGTTAGGAGGTGATTATTGTTATCCTCGGCAACATCGACTATCCTTGGCTTAGGCCCCTTGACGCAATATTAACCTTTATAATTACCGAACTTTGTTTCACTATGGAACCCACAGAAGGCGCCCACAACAAGTCTGTTTTTGAACCTTGGCCACCCTGGCAGATCCACCTCACAACTATTTGAGAGATTCTCTTCCCAATCTTTCTTCCAAAAAACATGCAACAGACCACAGTCCTCCCCGAACAAGCGACCGGTTCAACCTACACCGTGGAACAGCACAACGTGACAGAAGAACTTGGGTAGTACGGTGGCTTCGAGGACGCCCTCGGACCTCATGGCATCTCGTTTGTCAACCGGGATCTTTCCCTCAACAATAATATATCGAACGAAGACTGGGAGGCAGTCGAAAAGTTCCTCGCTGAACGATATGGCGTCACACGTATCTGGCAGTGCACTCCTTGGGTTATTTTGGAGCGCGAATCTGTCCCGGGCCCTTTTCAAATGCCGCGGTTCGTCGGAAACTACATCGCCCTATGGCTGGACTGCGCAGGCGAAAAAAACACGTCAACCTCATCCCGGAAATGCCCTTTCTCGGACGGGAGGCCTGGGTCGGCTTCGACGAGAAGATCGAGCTTGGTTGATCAATCAATCAAGCCTGTGCCACCTGTGTACCTATCTTTGACATGGCCCAGTGCAACCTCGCACCCCTCCACCCAAGTTTATCCCATCCGCCCACCCATCTCCCGTCCGACGCGGCAGAGTCCGAACTCCAACATAAGTGCGATTTCCCCGCCACATCCCTCTTCCACCCCTCATCACCCATCCCCATGGCCCTCTCGCCCACCTCGGCAGCCACGCCTCGTGGCACCGCCATCGCCATCCCATTCCTCGGCTTCGGCGTCTACCAAATCGCCGCAGACAAATGCATCACCGCCTGCAAGCACGCGCTACACGCCGGATACCGACACATCGACACGGCGCAGCTATACCGTAACGAATCGCAAGTCGGCCAAGCAGTTCGCGAATCAGAAACCAAGCGCGCAGACGTCTTCATCACCACCAAGCAGGGAATCAGAGGCGAAACACCCGATGCGACATACAACTTGGCAGTAAACAGTATCAAGAAGATAGCCGGCGACGGTGTAAACGACGCATACGTCGATCTGTTCCTGATTCACGTTCCTTATGTGCGAGGCGAAGCCGAGGGACGAAAGGAGCTTTGGCAAACGCTGGAACGGCTTTACGAAGAGGGCAAGGCAAAGGCGATTGGGGTGAGTAATTATGGGATTGGTCATATTGAGGAGATGAAGGGGTACGCCAAGATTTGGCCGCCGCATGTCAATCAGATTGAGGTGAGTTTTTTTTTGTTTCTTGTTGTTGCTTATTGGGGTTTAGGAAAGATGTTGACTTGCGCGGTGTAGCTTCATCCTTGGCGTCAACAAAGGGATGTTGTCAAGTATTGCGAGGATAATGGCATTGTGCTGCAGGCGTATTCGCCACTCGCTGAGGGGCAGAGGCTTGACGACCCTGTGGTTGGGGGAGTAGCCGAGAAGTATGGCAAGTCTCCGGCGCAGGTGTTGATTCGGTATGGACTGCAAAAGGGATGGGTCGTTCTGCCCAAGAGTGAGAGGGCCGAGAGGATTGAGCAGAATGCGGATGTGTTTGGTTTTGAGCTTGATGAGGGAGATATGGCGGTTTTGGATGCCTTGGATGAAGATGAAAAGACCAACGATGAGTGAGTCAGACTCAAGCTGGTGTTGGCAGTAGTATCAATAAAAAATGATCACCGGTTGGGAAAAAAAAATAAACCCAAGACTTTTATGATCATTGAGATTAGAAATGCAGCCAGCATGCATGTAATGACTGGGCTGGTGGTCCTGGTAAGTATCTGTAATTGACACTAAGTCTCAGTGTGAGGAGAGGGAGTGAACCAGCAATACAACGTCCACTACCGTCAACCTCGCCGATCCTAAAACTAAAAAGCAAAGACCGGACGTAGAACGTCCACCGAGACAACAGAGCGCAAGAGTGAAGCGAAAGAGAAAGATGACGTAAGTGCAAAAAGTTGGGGCCAATTCGGGGATCGAACCCGAGACCTCGCACAGCATTCGTTGAGAATGTGGGGTTTACCCGAAGCGCGAATCATACCACTAGACCAATTGGCCAACGAATTTCATGACTTTAGGGTTGAAGTCTACGGGCTATATCCTTGCATTGTTTTTGGGTTTGGGTTTTCGCCGAGAATATCTGCACGTCATCGCACGACACCATACCTTCAACAACTTTGCCGCTGACCGAATTATTTGCAACGCAGCGCACCAACACATTTTCCTAGCATAATTGGACCCCGGGTGTCACACTTTTTCTGGCACCGCTGCGCGCATCTCTTCTGCAGTCACTTTTTGCAACCATGTTTTCATGTCATCTGATTCTGAACCACAATCTCCTCAACTCACTTCAGTTTCATTCCAAACCCCATGCATCAACTATATACAAGAATTGAATCCTTCATCGCACCCTCTATGAGCACTGCGAGTACCACTCATTCTGCGCGCGGCACGCCGACCCAGAGACACAGCTTGTGCACCCAGTATACCCATTTCCGCCGCACTGTCCATACCGCTGCACCTGGCACCCGCTGTTGCCACCACCAGAGCTTCCACCGCCAGGCGCAGTGGTAGCCACCGGCGCGGACGAAACAGTCGCAGACGGCGCGGAGCCAGGCTTGCAAGTGTTCTCGCACCCAAGACACTGTCCGCTACCAGGCGTACGGGTAACACCACCAGCATACACACTCGGGCCGGGAGCGATGTACGTCGACAGACTGCTGTGGATGTTCACGAGAATGCCCGGGTCCGAAGCCTTGTACGCACCGGGGAAGGTGACGGTGGGAGGGCTCGCGCTGCCGCCGCCGGATACGGTGATCTGGTAGCACGTCATGTACAGCTGGGCGCCGCCCGAGGAGCCAGACGCGTGCAGCGCGATGACCTCGGCGCGGAGCAGGTAGTCACCCGCGGGGATGTCGGCTGGGATGACGACGTTGGCCTTGCCGCAGCACTTGTTGAGGTCCTTGACACCCCAGAAGTCGTCGTCGCCTGAGCCGCCGGCGGAGTTCTTGGCCCACGAGTTTTGGTAGATCTTGAACCAGCCGGTTGAACCGTCGGCCGTGGAGGCGTCTGAGACCTTGGAGAGGTAGACCATCAGGGGGCCGTAGTGGGCGCCGCCAATGGCTTCGCTGGCACAGGAGCGGTCGCCGTGTTGCTTGGGGATGTTAGTTGGGTGAATTTTTGGGAGGGAGGAAGAGGGAATGTACCTGGTGCATCTCGACGGTCACGGTGCCGCCTGCCTTGACGGGGCACTTGCCTTCTGCGCGGGCGGCGCCGGCATTGCAGCGCACGTCGTTGGAGGCGACGTTGGTCACGGGCGAGTTGGATGCCGGGCGACGGGCGCACTGGGTGCCGAAGTCGACGCCATCGACCCAGAGTTGCTGGAAGGTTGCGTGGGCGGCGACATTCTGAGCGAAGAAGGCCGCGAGGGTAGCAACGGTGAAGGACTTCATGATTGCTGGCTTATCTCGGTCAGATGACTGTCGATGCAGATCAGATCAGATCGTCAAGACCAGTGGTCCAGAGCAGCCATTTATATACGGCTTGACGCCCAGCACGACAGGCTGTCCGATTTCGTAAGTGCGTGTTCCATTCCGTCCGTTCGATGGCAAAGAAGTTTTTGTGATGTAACTCTCCGTTAGGCCGCTCCTCCAATTTCCAACGTCTTCCCGGGACTTCCAGCTCGACGACACCTGCCTTGCGTGGCATCCGGTCACACCCAGCCAGGCCCCGTGAACACGCCTTGGGCTGTGAACCCCACCGCGATGACACCCCAATCGACGTTGGAAGCGTGGAGAAGTCTGGGGAGAGGCCCGTCCGGAAGCCGGGCGATTGGTGGACGCTTCATCTAAAATGCACGCTTTCGGTAAGACGGAGTCCGGGTGCCGCGCGCCACCATCCGAAAAACCGGGAATCGGCGGATGACTTCCCGCTTTCCTCAGTGCTCCGCGCTCGCTCTGTACACAGCCTGCCTCTGTAGTCTGGGCGCATCAACGAAACGCATTTAGTGGCCGGTCCTGCCAAGCGCCTTGCGGCAATTGGCCGTCTCGCTTACATTGCGGCCGAGGGGCGGCCAAGACTCGCCGACGGGATCGCCAGCCAGATATACCGGGGGATGGCAGATCTGGTTTCCGCGCTGTCCTAGGATCTGGTAGCATCCAAACCGGGTGTTTGAGGTTTGGTTGGTGGTGATGACGTCCCATGCGCTGCTTGATTCGGGATCGTGTTTTCGACGAGCCGCTGACCCACCCCTAGATCTCTCATGCCTTGCGGCTCTTCTGGCCGTGTCGATCTTTGTGCGCGGAGGTCCAATAGGGAATGCTCGCCGTAATCCGGACGGCGGTTCTTGGTTGTTGGGCCTCGTCGCCTTGCTCGCCCGTCGTGGCAGTCATGGTGGATGCCGTCAACCGAGATAACCTTGCTCCTTGATATCGGCCAGGAAAACTCGAGCGAGGGAAGAACCCACTCACGATTCAAGCCGAAGAAATGCGCTGGCCATAGAGGAGCGCACGATGCATGGTCCAGCTTACAACCCCGATCTCGGCCATTGGCCTAACGCTCGATGCCCCCCTGATCTGATCGATGGGCGCTGCAAATCCTCGGGCTCCTCGGGGTCTCTCCTCGCCGACGTCAAGAACGCCAAGGTCTTTGGCCGACATCTGTATCGTGGAAGAAGGCGCTCAAAAAGCGGCCCCGCTCCGGCATTCACTTCCAACGGGCTCACATTGCAGTAGGCGCCTGCATGGGCGACGTAACAGAAGACTTCAAGACGGGACTGTCGCCTGACAGGAAGGATTATAGACCCATAACGGTTAGCGAGTTGGTCACGGGGCGGGTTGGCGGGCGCCATGTCACCCACCTACTTCGCATCCGTTTTGTTGCTGGTCGTGTCCTGGGAGCGCCTAGGATGTGTGTAGAGGCAGGTGTGGTTTGACAACATCCAAAAGCAAGCGGTCAAGATGACCAAGCAATCGTATTGATGGCCAAGTATGTAAAGTCACTGTGCGATTACACACAACGAGCCTGAACACCACCAAACGACTGACAAAAAAGTTTACCTAACGAACTTGAACAGGAAGCCGTTCCTCCAGCTTAGCCCACCACTCCTGCCAATCAACAACCGTCCTTCCAACTCGAGCTTCTTCCGTAGGAAAGACCATAGCATGGCTCATCACTGCCTCCTTAAAGGTGCGCCCAACATGTTTCGCCTGCGCCTGCTCTACGTCGATGTAATTAGATGTCTAGACAGTCTTGGAGGGATGTGGCAATTGGTTTATCGCAGAGGCCAAAGAATGATCCATTGAAGGCTAAGGAGACGTAGCAGACAAAATTCAACCCCATCATCCTTTTGTGTTGGAAAACAAAGACAGCATCAACGACCCAAGGATATCCATCACAGTAGCACTGTCATGAAAACTAACAGCAGCTATCAGTTCTGCTTCTCCTGCCCAGCCAATACCCCCCGCTCTTCAAGCTTGGCTATCTCCTCCTCCGACATCTCCACAAGATTCTCATCTTTGTCCGCTACATAGTGGCGTACAGGCAAGACTTGGACGTCTTTAACTGGCTGAATCCGGTGAATGTGTTCGTAGGTGTGGATCTCACGGTTGACGACTTCTTGCTGAACTTCGTGGATGGCGGGCTTGATTGTTTCGTGTGTGACGGCTGGCGGAGGGTTAGTACTTGCTAGACGATTGAGTTGAGGACATACCTGGTGCTTGGTTTGTCGCCGTTCCTATCTCGAGACTTTTTGATGTCTTTTTTATTGTCTTTGGTTCTTCTGCCATCTTGCTTGAGGAGAGGACTGAAGTTGCGTTGGATGCTATGAGATGCCGCCGGTTGGATGAATGCGTTTGTTGGAATTCCTCCAAGTACTTTGGGCAATGTGCCAGAGCTGGTTCGGAAGATGACCGCTTGATTCTACCTCGTCGTCATGCCCGCATCAGGGATGAACCCGCTTGCACTTTGTCATCTTGCAACTCTTCAAGCTTCATGCCTGAGCAGAGTGCAAGCGCAGCAGACGCAAGGGTGATCCCGTCCGATCGTGCAGCATCAACGCCATGACGCAATGACCGGATTGTCGAGAGTTGGTACGTCATGGAAGGGGTTACCCAACCGCGACGTCACCCTGATTCAGGATATCTGAGGTCATTCACCCGTGCAGACCTCTATATCAGAACGTGCAGGGCCAGTATGCCTTTTTCTTCTCTCGCATCGCATCCTCCCATCTCGCCCATCATCTCCCAAACCCAGCCCAACACACCAACCCAACGGCAACGCAACCCACCAGAACTGCCATCATGGAGAAGGCTAAGCGCGCCGTCGAGGACTTCGTCTCCAAGAGTGGTCATGACGACACCACCTTGACGGAGCAAGTCGCTCCCTCCGTTACCCACGAGACGGTCAAGCCAATGCAGCACGAGCAAATTGAGACGGCCGTCGACAAGGAAATCCACCAGGACCACCACCGTCGCATCGTGCAGCCCGTCAAGGACCAAGAGATCCTGCCTGAGCAACACGTTCACAAGGCTGGCAAAGTGATCAACCGCGAGTTTGATCACCGCGATACCGAGGCTACTGAGCGGGCTTTGCGTGCTGAGTCGAGCAAGTATCGCAACGAGCGCACCGTCGAGGGTACCACCTATTCCCAGAGCCACGCGCCGACCGTTCAGGGTGAGCAGATCCACCAGTGAGTCCTCCTCCTGTCTCTTTGTGTCAATGCTCACTGGCGTAGCCACGTTACCGAGACCGTCCAGCCTATCATTGAAAAGGAGACGATCCAGCCCAAGGTCGTCCACACCACCGTCCCGATCCATGAGGTCCACCACGAGCAGGCCCGTGACCATGGTACCACAACCATGCCGGCTGTAAGCATGGATGAGTTCAAGAGGCAGGGTGGTACCCTCGGATCGAGCCAGGTTGAGCCTTCGTCCAGTGGCATTGGGAGCATGGGTACTTCGTCGACAGCCAAGTCAACTTCTCCGTCGGCCTCGTCGACGACGGGAAATATCGGGCTCGGCCAGTCGAGTATCCCGGAGGATAAGGAGAAGAAAAAGCCG